GACGCTTGTTCAACTAATCATATGGACTATTACATTTTATAAAACATGATCTAATTCCATAATAAACATAAGCATTTGCTGCTTCGATTCCTCGTGTATTTCATTGGTGTCCGCAGTTCGGGTTGGAGCCAATTCAGTTCTGATCAGTACATTACGGGTTCTCGTATTCCTACATTCAGTGCTATGCTGATTACTACAGGCTCGCATATTACCACCCATGGAGTTTCCGCCGCAATCGCTGGAATGACCACATTAGCACTACGCCAATTGAACTGTTCACTAAAATACTCTGCCCACCGATCAAGTCGTTGTTCTTTATCGTGCTTTGTCCACTTTTATCGCAAATGGTCTCACTGACCGGTATGCGACGACCTCCGGTGTTGCGTATCAGGTGAAATAGTGTTTGACTATTCCCTGAGGAAGAAGTTACCTCCATTTCACTGGCTATTTTGGCCCACCAATTGTCATGATTCTTCTTGAGGCTATTTCGGAGTTGATGCTTCAGGCGACACCGATCCCTGTGCTGATCCTGGCAAATAGGGATCTTTCGCTTTTGATCCATCAGAATTACTGACTCCTGAGAGATCTAATGCCTTCGGCGAGCTCCGGGATCAGCCCTACAAGCAAAGTTTGCAGCTGAGTGCATCGCAAATCTAACATGATTCCGCTGTTGGTCTACTCCACTATGTCGCGATTCTCCCAGCTTCTGTCCCAGGTTCTCCTAATAACGTGCGCAGACGATGGTGAGCTTACTGAGGAGGCGATTTCTGCCGATGACCAATGAGTCGAAGTGCGAAGCGCAGCAGAACTAGTGCATGACCGACTCAACGCAGGTGGACCAATAGGATCTGCAATTGTGTACTGAACCACGTCAACAGTAGCTTACAGCTATGTGGTCGATTTGGGTCAATTTTCCCGTTGAACTAGAACACCATGTAGCCGTTCGACGAGAGCCGTGTCGAAAGTTGATGTTAAATAAGAAAAGCCGGTGATCCGCGCAGAACTGAAGTAGTCGATTACCGTTGTCTGTTTGCTGGGCGGAGAGGGCGAAGTGCCCTCCTAGACAGGCTTCGGATGCACTCAGTTTTCCAACCTGCTCCTTAAAATCACCTGCCAGCACTATAATATCAAAACTGTGGCTCAACCGAATCAGTTCAGCGAGTTTGTCGTAAAATTCGTCCTTTTGTGAAACGGGACTGCAGCTGGTTGTTGCCACGCGGAACTGATGAACAAACACCTTTTGGTGTTGCTACCCTTCCGAACACTAACTGAACACTGTAGCCTCATTGCATACAAATGACTAATGATGGGTATCCAATCTATCATACAGACTTCCGCTTTTTCGTTTAGTACAATCCCTACACCACGCTGACCCAGTGAGTGGGCCTCGTCGTCTCCTGATGTGCGAAGGAAATACCTCGATGACAGACCCGGCGCCCTCAGGTGGTTTATAATATTACGATCCTGAATTCGTGTCTCCGATACGCAACAAACATCGATTTCTAGAGACTGCATTGTACGTGCAAGACACGTCTGTTGACCCAACTGCATAAGAGTCCTCACGTTGAAGGCCCCCAGATTGAGAGGTTGATGAGGCTTCAGAATCTGCACTTTATTTACAGGAAAACTAGTTACAGTGCTGTTCGGCAAAGGACCTTTGGTGAGTGACGAACAAGTTGTCTGAGGGAATGTTGCGGCTAGAAAGAAAGTGTGAAGAGACAGGGTTGTGTACGGAAGACAAAGAGTTAAACAAAAGTTGGGATATCCGAGTAGTAGCCCACTTATCACTACCCACCCCGCACGATGCAATGGATAGCGCGGTCCTGATTATCCTGTGCGACGAGTGATGCAGTATGAAATTATTCTTTGTTTGTGTGTTCATTGGAGCGTTATGGACGGGTACTGCCAGGGTGTCGAGCCATTAAGCAGGAAAACGATTAGGGTTCTCAACCAAAACCTTTAGTTCTGACAAGAACCTAACCGCAAGGCAGCGGTTACGACGGATTGCAGGCCCATTAACTTGGATCAATTATTCCTCCAAAACGTTTTATGAACTGAGACGCCGACTCAAGTGGAACTCCCAACCTGGAGGACCAGGAAACTGGATTTTGTTCGACCTCTACCCATTGACCTTCCAGGCATGATTAGATCTGCGGCTTGACGAAAGCCATCTTGTGTAGCGCGTTGGGTCATAGAGGTGCACAAGCCATCACATCACTTCGAGGTGCAGTCTCGTCGTGATGGCGCCGCTAGCCCATTAACAACTCCCACCATCGCTTTGTGCAAGCTAGGAACAGACGCTCGATAACCCCTTAGAGAACAAAAGAATGCTTTATTCACTGTAAAGCCGAAAACTTTTGTCCCTTGATAAAGTAATTTCCCGTCATTGCTGCCCTTTCAACTTCCCTCCATATACAATTTCTCTGATTTTGTATATCAAAGGTGATCTTTTTGCCGCTAACTCCACCTTCGTTAATTATCCTACTCCTTGACATTCTTCTCATTGCACTGGCAACCCTTTTCTACTCTAAGAAGCTCTAAGAAAATGTGCCAAACATTGCGCTCTCTAAATGCAAACAACTCACCAGGTCCGGAAGGTATTTCACCCATCGACCTCAAAATTTGCTTCCCAGTTGGCTCCTGTTTCACGTTATCCTATCAGTCTTTCCCTCCAACCTACTACTATTCCAACCCAGTATAAACACACCATGGTTTCTTCCTTTTTCTCAGACGCGGCAATCTTTCCAACCCCAACACCTACCGACCCATTTTCTTCCTCAACTGTTTGTTCGAAAGTATTTTAAACCATTATCTCCTACCCCCTGCGCACGTTCCTCCAAAGCTAAGGACTGCTGAGAGACTGCCAATATGATTTCGGGCAGCATCGTTCCACCGGTGACATGCTGACTCTTGTCTCACAGTTCTGACCGGCTGCACTCAATAACCAGAGAGAAACACACTTGGTCTCACGTTATATCTCAAAGGCCTTCGATCGAGATTGGCACAAAGGTCTGCTGACGAAAATGGACATGTTCGGGTTCTCCGGCTCTCGTGTCGTGGATATCAAGTTTCCTTAGTAAGCGAACCACCTCTGTGCGAGTTGATGGGGCTCTATACCAGCCGATCCCTGTGAATGCTAGCGTTCCCCCAAGGTTCAGTACTTGTGCTCACCCTCTTTCTTCTACTTGTCAGTAATTTTTCCGAAACTCTCAACCCAATCCATTCTTCTGCCGATGACGCCACCCTCCAATGCTCCTGTTCCTACCGCACTACAGGCCATGCCCAAACCAACAACAATTGTAACTCCTTAGTGCAGTCAATGTATCACTGGACTGGGATCTCGAACAGATTTTCATGGGCAACGGTAATCATGTTTCATTAAATGCTTCAAAAACTTCCCTTCTTCCGATTCACCTAAAACACCATTCATTCCCCCCCACACACACACACTTATCTTTTGATTCAACCCAACTGTGATCCACAGACTCTGTTTCTGTTCTTCGAATCCTAGTAACTTCTTCATTATGCTGGCCACCTTTTATATCTCAGCTTGCTTCTCATGCTGCACACAAAGCCAGTCGCTTCTTCATCCCAGTTTATCTTCTTCTACTGTACAAAGCTCAAATCTGCCGTGCTCTTGAATACTGCAATCACTTGATCTTGTTTAACAACAGCCATCTGGCCGATTGACGACTCTTCCGTAACCTTTAATTTGCGGTCACTAGCCTATCGTCGAGCAGCTATCCCCCTTCTCTACTGTTAGTGCTTTGGTTTGTGCTCTTCGGAGTTCGCCTCGGCAGTGCCCCTTCCAGCAACTTTCGCCCGGCCATCCAGCCATGCTAGTCAGATTTCGGTCACCAGATATTGCACTTCTCTGCTCTAATCATCTTTTATATCACCGAACTGCCAAGTTGTGGAACTCTCTCCCACTTTCCACCTTTCTCATAACTTACAACCTTGCACTCTTTAAACACAACCAACAAGCTGGATTTTGAGTGAATGTTTCCCTACTCTCCGTTTTATAGTACGCTCTTTGACGATAAGGATTTCCTCTTTTACTGTATCTCACATAATGTTATAAAAAAGAATCCGAATATAACAAACGCCCTACCAATTCAGATTTGATTCCCAGTTACTTGTGACTGACGGTTAACTTATGTTCATCAGTGATCCTTCAATTTTGCGAACCTAATAAACTGATTGACAATAGGTGAAAACGATAACTAAATACACTTGAGTTAGTAATTCTGGTCAGCCGTTTGGCACAGTGGTTATACACTAGCTTCGTAAACAATGGGTTCGGATTCCAAAGCCCGGATTGGAGAAAATATGCATTACTGAAGAGTTATAATGAGAGTGAAACACGATTCTAAAACTTTTCAACTTCAAGCAAAATCATTGCAACTTCAAATAAATCAGAGACCGAATGAAGGTTTCAAAGGGAGTTATAAGTTTTTCGCCTCCAATCGGAGAACATTGTGTTTTTGACTGTTGATCCAGTGAGCTATAGACGAGAGCGAACCAACCCGGCCTTAAGTGATTTCGGTCTGTCTGGTATTGAAGTAATTCACTTCAAGATGGATCGTTAACTCGATCACCATGTGACCACCATCCTCTCCTTCTCGAAGCTCAGAGTTCATAGTTCTCCATACTTGATGTTGTTGCCCATATTGTGCGATCTGTTACATCTTTCTCAGTCAAAGATGCAGATGCTTCTCGTTCGACTCTTGTTAAATATGCACACACCTTTGGTTTCCTCGATCGAGGGATGCTCATTCACCGCTTTCCTTAGTGTGACCTAAGACCTGAAATTATGCATGAGTTGACTGAATACTTCTCTCAGAGGATCCAAGTGACTTCATTTACTAAACATTGAGTCTATCTTAGTGCCCTGTCAGTCGGTTTCTTTTTCTTGCATTATACCTAGAGAATCTTTCCATTCATCGAAACTGTGTTGCCGGTTACGATGAATGGTGGATTGGATAAGCAGGACTACTCACTGGTTGAGAATTCCAGTTCCAGCGAAATTCTGACCAACCCACGTCCATGAACCAACTGCCCGAGCACTGGATGTATCGTGCCCGACGGTGCACTGATCTGACCAGGTTTGAGCTTTGGCCGCCAAGGCATCATTCCAAACCTTTGAGGAAGATAGATCATTGGAAAATGAAACCGGGAGTAGCAATAACGAGTAAATCAATTGGTTATCCGTGCTACCAAATTTCATCACTGACCGTTGAACAATAGAGCTTTGTTCATTTGGACAAACACTCTAGGTAAATCAAACTTCACCATCTGGAAACCACGAATCTGTGATGACGAATAACCTTTATAATAATAATAATAATAATAATAATAATAATAATAATAATAATAATAATAATAATAATAATAATGGTAACAATATGTCTTTAGGATATTGGTCAACGATACGTGTGTTGTAAGTCAAGGACTTGATTGATGCAAGATGAAGAATTGGTCGAAATCCCGCCGGATATTCGCGAATGTTCATCTTTCTTAAGGGTTTCAGGAGGCAGAGTTTCACAAAAAGTACCACTTTCGTAATAAGCACAGTTAAGCTTATCCCATGGTGGTTTTCGTTGACGTTTTTGATCCCTTCTTGAAGATCGGGATAATCAATGATTCACCCCAGGATAAAGGGATAAGCTCTTCTGACCAAATGTTGTGTAGTAAACTAGTTACATTATCGACAAGAGTCATTTACTAGTTTAATAACATCGAGGAGAAGCTCGTAAAGTCCAGCTGCCTTTCTTTTCTTTAGTGACTGAATCCAGCCTCGTACTTCCAATTCCATCAAGGGCTCAAATGTAGCTGACCATACAATTTCTGCTTCAGACACCGGAATAAGCGCATTAGTAGCAGACTATTGAAATATTCACCAAAATACTTTCCTCAGCGATAAAGACATTTTTCTTAATTTTGAATATTCTTTTCATCGTAAGTGGTTTCTCTGAGTAGTATGCGGCGATTTCCGGTGGTGCAAGTCGGGCAAAACCGTCTTTGACCATGTACTGACGATGGTCGTACGAAGAAAAGGAGCAATCCACGAGGACGCTTTTCGTTCATATTTTCTACACAATCAACTCTGACTCCAACTGTGATATTTCTTTCTGTTTTACTTCACTGCTTGTGTTTTACGGAGCACAGTTTTCCGCTCAGATGTATATCTTAGCTGGGTCCTGTTCAAACCCACACAACACGAGACATACTTTAGCTTTGCTGCTGCATTTATTTGCTTGTTTTAGTCGTCACATAGGCATGTATTCAGTACTTACTAGTACCACGATACGCCAATAAACGTCTACGACCACCACGAATGTTTTTGTCCACTCAGGGCAACGAGAAACTAGGAGGTCTCGCGCTATTCGAGATCCGTAAGAAGACTTGTCGACAGGCCGACAACGTCGATTAGGCTAGTTTGATACCTAGCCATTTTAAGCCACCGATATTCTCTCTTGAGGTTTTTCCTGAACTGACGTTACAGACGCCACTGGTTCGTATGTTCATTCTGCCAGATTAGGATCCTTCATTTTTGTTTTATCATGACTAATAAGAGGCTCACTATCTCCGATGAAATTCGGGCTCATCCTCACAAGCAAATTCAGCTGTCGAATGCATCACACATATAACTTGATTTCATTATTGATGCGATCGGAATACAACGTTCCCTCAGAGAGGTTTTCATTCTCCTTTCTTTTAGTCATTTTTACTTCTTTCAATTGAATATACAAAGCTACAATTTTCGAAAGGAGGAATCGGCCAGTCGAAGGCCTGCCATACAACACAAAAAATAGGAAAGTCGAGCGGCGGTGGTGATTCGACCACATGTCCTCCGTGATGATAACTTGGTGAAGTTACCACCGGGCTACCACCGTTTCGGATGAGGCCAGTTTTCCAGGCTGAGCATCTCTTAGCACTTTATTATTAGAGATGCTACTCGACGGCATAAGTTTCGGTGAGTTTGTCGTAAAATTCTTCCTTTTGTGAATCGAGACTCTGATTTGTTGCTACATACGCAGAAATAATGAAGACCTTTTGGTATTGCTTCCATTCCTAGCAATAAATGATCCTGGAGCCTCATTGTGCACAGACCGCTACTTTTGAGTATCACTGAGGTTTCAGCTTAATCATTTAATACGATTTCCACTACACGCTAATCCAGGGAGTGGAATTCATCTTCCCATAATGTGCGAAGGAAATGCCTCGAGGATAGACCCGGTGCACTCTGATAGGTTACGCTACTAGGATCCTGAATTCGGGTCTCTGATACATAAGATACACTTGCTGACCCACATGTAAGCGAGTCACGTTGAAGGCGCCGGATTCAGATGTTTGCTAGACTTCAGAATATGCAATATTTTTCATGGTGCATTATTTAAAATGCCGTTTCGGTGGATGACAAACAAGTTATCCGGTTGAATATTACAGGTCCGGAGAAAGGTCAAAGAAAAGGAGAGATATGCGTATAGAAATCAAAATTTTAATCAACTGCTGGGATATCTCAGCAGTAGCTCATTTATCACTACTCGCTCCGCTCGATTAAATGGACAGCGTGGTCCTGATAGTCCTGTTTGACGACCGATGCAGTATAAATTTCATTTTAGTTTGTGTGCTTTTCGGATCTTTATGGTCGGCTGCTGCTAGGGAGTCCAAGCACTATGCAGCAGAACGATTAAGTTTCTCACCCAGTCTTTAGTTCTGACAAGAACCGTATGGCAATACAGTGGGTAAGGCGAAATGAAGGTCTATTTACTTGTATCGTTACTCCTCTAATATTTTTCAGACTCAACTCGAGTCGAACCTACAACATGGAAGACCAGGATACTGGACTTTGTCTGGCCTCCATCCTTCGACCTGAATTCATTTACAATAATCACCACAGCAGGTGTCGATTGTTGCAAAGCACAAAACGTGCAGCATTCGTATACCTCCTGGGCATCCAATGACACTATTAAATGATTTCAATGGCTTTCGGTGATAAACCCGCATTACTAATGATGTTCATGCGTATCCCATTGCGAATTTCGATTACAACAAAAAGGCCTGAAAATTGTTTTAGGCAAAGACAAGTTGACTGTTTCTCACGGTGTTTAGGTAGGTGACCTGAAGATCGTATTGGCTCAAACAGGGTGTTTGCCCTTTTCAATTATTAGCCTGTCGTGATCAGGACATTGCATTTTTCCGGGCCACATGGGATGATACTCTTCGAGCGCACACTTTAGAAGAGGATTCTTGTGAGAGCTGAATGGCGTATATGGCTCAGATAGCTTCTTCAAGTTGTTTGATTTGTGGAATCCCATGTTGATGGACCGGCGCTACGTTTGGAACCGTATTCCTATCCCGACGGAACGAATGCACCAAGTGAGAATCTGGGACATCATTGTATGATGCTCATTAACACTATCGGACACCATCAACGACGCACATCAACCAACCTCGGGAGGATAGAACTCCAGATACATCGGGTGTGGACAAATGCGTAACTCATTTCTTTTTTGTTGTTGTAAAGAATTTATGCTATACACTTCCGTACGTGTACCAGAAGCAGAACCGCTGAACAGTGCTCCACACGTAAATAAACTAAACATCACATGAAGGTTCTCACCAACATCGATGTTCAGGAACGTTCTGTAGGCTAGGAGAAGTGTACTGACCTCATCTACTCTCCTCGATAC